TGTGTGTGTGTGTGTGTGTGTGTGTGTGTTCCTGGTCAGTTTTTAGGGACCCCTGGTGTTCATAGGTGGAACTGCTCTGTGATACCTTCAGAGTCTGTCAGGTTCCACGTCAAATGGCAAAGCACCTGTCCTGAGTCGGCCAATCAGACGGCCTCATTTTGGACTGTGTGTGTGTGTGTGTGTGTGTGTGTGTGTGTGTGTGTGTGTGTGTCAGGTTCCTGGCTAATGGCAGAGTGAGGAATGCGTCCAGTTCTGTCATGGAGGAAGACGCTCCGCCCACCAACTCTACAGAGACGAAAGCAGCAGCACACACACACAGACACACACAGGTAAACACACACACAGGGAAACACACACACAGACACACACTTGTGTACACAGTGTAAGTTTGTCTGCTGGTGTTTAAATAAAGTTGTGTGCTGAGTCTGTTTCTGCTCCGCTGCAGAAGAAGAAGAAGGTTCGTAAAGTCCCAGCAGAGGTGAGCCGAGAGCGCTGCCCGCCTGCAGCCCCGCCCACAGGTACGCACTCACCTGTCCTGTGTGTTCCTGTGCAGGTTGCTGTCAGACTGTCCTCAGGATTTGTTGATGTCAGGTTCTGTGTAAACAGAGCTCTGGAGCACATCTGGTTCTGGAGTTTCTACGTGAGCCTTTCACAGAGTCCAGACCAGTAGACGGTCTTTATTTCAGCCCCGCCCTGGTTCCTGCACGGCCAGCGTTCACAGGAACACTGGAGGACCTGGAGACCAGCTCCAGGCCTGGAACATGATGACACAGCAAAATGTCCTGATAAAGGCTCGGCTGACCTCAGGTTGGAGCTGCAGTAGATCAGTGCTGAGTCCAGTGGTGCACACAGTGAAACCTGGACCAGGTCCTGATCCAGACCAGGTCTCACTCAGACTACAGCTCCTGGTGGCAGCAGAGAGCATTGTGGGAGTTTATCAGTAACAGGACCATGACAGAGACTCTGAGGAGGTTCAGGACCTCCAACCAGAGCTCAGCAGTTTGATGTTTTTAAATCCTGATGTCTGTTTTCTGAAACATCATGATCAGCAGATGTTCCAGCGTCTCCTGGACTCAGTTTGTGTGATTGATTAACTGACTATTGATTGATGATGCTGTTATCGGTTAAGAACATGAAGTCACATCTGCCGTTTGACCTCCTGTTGTCCTCAGCAGAACCCAGCACTGTGTCCTCCGGGTCTCTGAGTCAGCGCCTGCCTTTCCCAGCATTCCCTCTGAGAGCGTCGCTGCCGCCGCTGGCCGCCACCGGCCCTGTCCAGGCTGCCGCCCCCCCCGCCGAGTACCACTCAGACTCTGCAGAGTCTCTGGAGGAGATCCCGGTGGCGCTGGCCAAGCTGGGCTCCTCAGCTGGCGGCAACGCCTCCACGTCTTCGCAGCGAGCCGCCCCGCCCTT